GAGCCGTGCTAGGATGCACCAGAGCCCAGAGCATTCTGTGTGTTCATGTGGAGCACCGTCTCGGGTCCCCGGCTGCCCCTGGACCCACTCCACGAGGAGCCTTTGCTGGACGCACTGGGTCCTCCAAGGTCCTTATTCAGCTGGAAAACAAGACACTTTCCTCAAAGGCGCTGGGACCAAGAGGACACACACGGGGGGCAGAGCAGGTGGGGACACACACCAGGCAGCATTGCAGGAGGTGGGGACTCAGCCTCAACCGAGACGCGGCACTGCCAACCGGGGTGCGCGAGAGTGCGGTTCACCGTGGAGGAGGGGGCAGGACGGAAAGCAGAGGCCACAAAACTGAGCCGGGAGACAGCAGTGAACCCTCAAACCCGGCCACGGACTCTCATCGCACCACACATTCCTGGCCCACTAAGCAAAAACTAAGTTGCCTTAGAACATGTCGTTTTTAGAGAAAAGTGGCGAGTGTATGGAAATCCACCCATCAGCAAGCGCAAGTGCAAAGAGAAGCTTACACTTGCGTTTGACAAATGAATAATAACAGAGAAATAATAAAACCCTGAACCTGGTTCTCAGCTGCAGAAAGTGAGGACCTGACCGGGTGTGGGCGATTCTCTGGACTCACCACCCCCACCCCCCATGGTGGAGGAACAGGGTAGTGGGCGCCCTGGGGTGGGGTCACTGCTCGGAGATCCTCTTAAAGCAAGGACCAGGTTAAGGCAAATTAGAATTTTCTCCCTTTCAAATGACTGTATCTTTCCATGAAAGCTTCACCCTTGACTGTTTTTTCCTGCCTTTGACCTGAGAATAACATTAATTTTTAGTGCGTTCATTTGTACTATATGGAGTTTAAAGCCATGTCTAGTTGACTATTGTATATTTACATAGCTAATGTAATTATGGCTAATCACATAATTACTGGAAATGTGCATAATTGCTGATCCCAACATATAATTATAATGTATAGCAACATTATGAATCCCATTTTTAAAATCCACATTTTGGGGCTAAAGATAATTATTAGAAATGATTGAGGACTACCTATAGGCAGGCTTCAACACTGTTTCTTTACAAAGTGCTCAAGGTGACAAAGAAACAAAACAAGTGATGGTTTTATAATGCATTTTGATGAAGACAGGTAAAACAAAACAGCACCCCCAGAATGAAAACATAAAAATAAAACCTAAAACACCAGACAAAACTATTCTGGCCGTAGTCTGTGCAGAATGCTCTTCCCATGGGGAAAGAGGGAGCCCTCCCAGCCTGTGGGCTCTGACGGGTGGGCTCCAGGCAAGGTTGGCTGCTGGGGGGACCGGTCCCTCCCACATCCACGTGGACCAGGCTGGGGAGGTGACTGCCAGCCGACTGGATACCTCCGCCTTAGCTATCTCGGCAACAGGGAGGCTCCTGTCTTCATATCCTACAGACTGACAGAATCCCCTGGGCACGGTTCCACTGAGATGTCCTTCCACAGTGGCAAGTTCAACCCATGAAGCAGAGCATGAGGAAAAGCCACTGGGCAAAAGCTCTCCTCCACCTCATCCCTCCAGCAACTTCTCCAACTTCGCTTGTCCTTCTGCGTGACAAGGTTGACGCAGAGTAAGATTCTCAGGTTTTATGACTTGCTGTATTTAACAGACACCAGTCAGTCTGCATTTTGCCCACGTCTGTCCGGACGAGCCCATCCTTCTCACCTTTTATTCTCTGTGCTCCTGAGAACATTCCAGACGTGTGGAATGTTTCATGTGATTGTTTATTTAAAAGCAGTCCGGATCATTTCCCTTTTTTGGCAGGGCAGCGGAAAAATGCGCTTCTGAGTTACGTTACAAAAGGGACATATCACAAGCTGAGCTGATGATATACTCAGAACCATTTTTCCATGTTTCTAAGACATTTGAACAAAATGAAGTAAAATGAAATATCTGTTTTTCAGTTTCCAAGCTGCAATCTCAATAGCCATAGGAAAGGATAGTGTTTAGTAATTCATTCTATCACAACCCACAATAAGGTGTTCTCACAACCATCAGCAAAGCCATTGTGGTTTATTACAATTCTACAGACCCAGGGCTCTAGAAAATGCTTTTCTGGGTTTCTTTTGTAATGCCGAGTGACAGATAGCTAGCCCTGGTCTCTGGCTAGCAAATATTTGGGGCAAATCAAACTAGCTCTGCAGGATGCAATAAGGCACTAAAACTCTCTGGCTGGTGCAACTCACAAATGTGAAACGTAAATTATGTCAGCAAGCTAAGCAGAGAGGGAAAACCAAAAACTAAATTATATATCAAAAAGAGAAGAATACAACCTGGTTGTGACCAGCCCATGTTACCTGAGGCTGCTCCATCATAATACCCGTACAGCAGTATTCTAGAGTAGTCTGGCAATAGGTACCAGAAAGGAGAACAAATTATAAATATCAAACTAGAAGCGTTGCTTTTTTAAAAAAAATTAAAATTTGTCTTTTAAGCCAACTCTATCCAATTGACTTAGATGGAGTCCCAAAGACTCTGGCCGCACCCTATTCTCAGAGCGGTGTCAGATTCCGGGCACACACGACCCTCTCCTGCTCTGAAAGGGTCAGGTGGACAGGGGCTGGACAGGCCCTGGAAGGCAGGGCAGGCCCAGTGCTCAGTTCCCACCAGTGTGCCTTGAGTGTAGCCCGGGGCCGGTGGGTCCTATGACCAGGGCTTTGCATGGGGCTTGTGACGCAGGGGGGAAGGGACGAATTAGAAGGAATTAGTGTTCCCAGAGACCAACAGCAGACAGACAGACAAAGCTCCCATAAGCCTGGGAGCCGATAGGTAACTACGGCAGGACAAGGCAGCTTCATGATTTCATCATTTTAAAACAAAACAAACTTAACGGGATACAGGGAGTCCTTGGGGGTGTGGGTGGTGGGGAAGGACAGGATCATTTGGAAGGTTCTGAGGACACTGATGCAGAACATTCTACAAGTAGTTCAGGATGACAGAATAGAGCGAGGTGAGAGCCCAGGTGAGAGCCCAGAGCATTGGGGGCGGGAGGAGCAGCTGAATGCAGGGGCTAGGGGGTCAACCCAGCCAGGTGGGTGTTACCTGTCTTGACCATGGCAGGCGCCACAGGGACTAACTCAGCTCACAGGTGGGAGAGCACCCAGGAAGCGCCTTGGAACGGCCCCTATTACTTAGTGAGACACCAGATGAGGGAATCGTGGATTACGAGCTACACCCAAGGAACTTAATTTTCAGCTCATCTGTGTTGATAGTGGTTATTGAGACATTTTTTAAAAAATGACTTCAACTATATCTGAAACACCACACATAAAGGTGACACAAATTCCTGTTACAAAATATTGGCTGCAAATCCCTTATTTCGGATGAAGGACTGAGTGGGAAGGTTGGCGAGCCACGCTTGGGATGGAGGGGCCGAGAGCACGGACCATGGCTTTGCCCGCGCCGGGTTTCTACGGCCGCGGGCTCTTCAAGTCCATTCTCGTCTCTGGTGTGGTCTTGATACCTGTTAACACCTTCAGCGCAGCAGCTGGGTGGAGAAGGTGGAAAGTGCACCTCCGCACTGGAAGCCACGAGTGCACCTTACACCTCTCGTCACACAAGCAGGGAGCCCAGATGGGGAACTTTCTACAAACCAGCTGGGCTGTGCTCGTGTATAGCATCAACGCCTCTGAAAGTCAAAAAGGCCACGGATCAGATGGTCTTAGGCTGCGGATACTAAGGAGACTGGACGGGGGCGACTAAACCCTCGAAGGCTGCCTGCACAGGTGACCAGATGTAAAAGACAAAACAGCTAAAAGCAGATGCGCGGGGGAAATGTGAACATGCAGCCTGTATCAGACAGTCTCGTAACGAGGCGAAGCTCCTGGGGGAGGATTATGGTACTGTGAGTATGTAGGAAATTGTCTAAAAGGAGACACATGCCACAGGTACTCAAGAGTAAACTGCTGCCCCTATAATGGTTTTTCCTAGATGGTTCTGGAATAATCCATCCATCCATCCATCCATCCATCCATCCATCCATCCATCCATCCATCCATCCATCCACACTCGGATTTATCTGCCTACGTACACATCTCTCTCTATGAAAAGAAGGCAAATGTTATCAGCTGGAGAACTGAAAAAAATATTGGTGTTCACTGTACTATCCTGTCGACATTTCTGTAGGTTTTTAATGTTTTAAAGAAATCTGATTGTTTACTTTAACAGCTCCTTAAATGCCAACTCCCAAGCTCCTCGCACTGTGGCAGAACCCCACAGATTGGGGGGGGGGGCAGTCAGTGCTCTTATGTTCTTGAGGGCGTGGAGTCATTCAGCAGAATGTCTTTGACGTCCCCAGCCCCTGCAGCTTGAGCCACGTCTTCTTAAAGGACAAACAAGTCCCGTGGGCTGCTGCAGGGGCCCGGGTGAGGCCAGCCCTGCAGCCCGCCTCCTGCAAAGATTCCTGGTCGGCAGAGCGCACTTAACCTCAGCCCAAATCCACACGCCCCGAGTTTCCCACCACTCACTAATTGGGAGAGGATAGTGCTTAATCAACATCTCAGAGTTTTGTCCCCAGGTTTCCATTAGATTTTAATTACGTTTATTTTTCCTTTCATGAATAAAACACTTCCAGACATTTTCAAAGATAGCAGGGACTTGAACACATCCCGAGGGGTAATGCTAGGGCTCCTCAGAATATCTTGGTATTCATCATTGTAAATATCTTAATTCAAACCAGACAAAGCCCAGGAAGTAAAAAAGAGATGGTCCTAATATACAGCATCTTTCATATGCAAAATAACCTTAGGTACAAGGAAGAAATGGACAGTAGGCCCTACCCCCACCCTACCCCAGGGCCAGGTCTTGTTCTATGGGAGGGCAGAGGGTGCTAAAATTGGAGAAGGGACCCTGGCTCCGAGGCTGGGAATAGCCTGGCCCAGCCGACTTGGGCAAAGCAGCTTGTGCAGGATTTGAGAGAGAGAGACTACGCGTCCTTTGTCAACAACCGCCAAACACGCTGGCTCTTACCTTCACAAATTCTGTCCAATCGCTGTCTCTTGACTTTGTGCTTATCCACAAGGGCCATTCTTTATGGAACTTTGCAACTCTCAGATTCGAATGGCAAAGCAGTCCTCTAAGAACTTAGGGGAACTCGCGGGAGTCTGCGTGCATTACGCCACTATGAACCCTGAAACAAGGAGAAAAGAATCCTTACTCTCTGGAGACCCTCGGGACACAGGACGACAGGTCATTCGGGACTTAACCTGCCACTTTCTACAGGGGGACCTGCCATCCGGGTGTATGGTGCTCGCTCTCCTTCCAAAACGCTGTTGATGGGAGTTGCTCAAAGTCCATCTCAGCAATCTCCTGCTTTCTATCTCGTGACAGAAAGCAAATGCACGCTCACAAGATGATGGTCAGTTAGTTATTTCTGAAAGTAGTAAATGCCAAGAGATCCCTTGCTTTTCACTCCAGGGCTATAAACACCAATCACCAACCAATCTGAATTGCAATCATTTATATTCCAATACCGGAGACCAAGCGACAGCCAGCTGGACCTGCCCTTGGTTCTGTACCTCAGCGAGGCGGAGCCCGAGGGGACAGGCTGGCAGGCCCCTCGGGAGCACAGGGGGAGCAATGCCAGACGCAGACACCCACCGCGTGGCCACGCCAGAGGCTCTCTAGCTGGGCCTTCTGCCTGCTGGTTTGCAAAATTACGTTCCTTACACACACTATATATACCATAAAAAAAATAAAAAATAAAAAATAAAAAATAAAATTACGTTCCAAAACGGCCACGCAGGTCAGGAGTCAAAGCCACAGCACAGCACCAGCCCCCAGCCCCACTGCACGAGACGTGGCAGGAAGCACCTAACCGACGTCTGCTGAGTGCCATCGCCCTGCACCTTCCTCGCATCTGGAGGGGCCTGCTGTTGGCACTGGCAAAAAGCAGTGACCCAGGCTGCTGGCCCTGGCGTGTGGTCCCAGGTTTGCAGGCCGAAAGCAGTTCTTAGATTTAGGGGTGGCTGGAGAGCCCATCTAAGTACCCCGCGGTGATCCGGGCAGAGGCGTGGGGTATGTGGGACTCCCCAAAGGCAAACCCAATAGCTGCTTGAGGAATGAGGAGCCGCTGCCCAGCCTGTTTCCAGAGAAGCCGAGTATTTTGGAAGCTCATCCAATGCTCAGCCGATGTTCCGGAGGCCCCAGGTCCCCGGCTGCTGCCCCCAACGTCCCAGCCCGAGTTGCTGCTCAGCAACTGCAACCTTCTCGTCAGCTAATGAGGGGCTGGAAGAACCTCAACCAGGAACCACAGTTTGAGGCCCATTCTGTGGTCTCCTGAATTTTACTCAAAGAATACAACCAAACTGGTCTATTTTAACCACCACACACACACACACACACACACACACACACACACACACACACACACGAGAAAAGTTGTCCTCACTGAACCAGGAAACAGAGGCCAGGAGACGGAAGTGAAGCTCAAGGGTTAAAAACAAGGCCGTGATGTATGGTCATCGATTATGCACCAGGAGTTGCTCTGTCAGAGGTCAGGCTGCGGGGCTACCAGGTTTCTGGTAGTTAATGGCTAATTTCCCAGCAACGAGGCTGAAAAAGCCTCCTAAAGATTTATGGCAATAATTATGTGATTTTCGAAAAAAAGAGCTGGGAAAAAGCACAATTTCCAATCACATAAATAATTAATGCAACATCCGTGAGATACCGAACATTCCCAAGACCGGGAAGCAGTTCCCTCGACCTGGAATGGCCGTCCTGGAGTGGAGATGAAGTTGTCCTCGTCAAGGAGCAGGGTCACCGGTTAGGTGGATCCATGTGGACGCATTTTGAAAACGTCTGCTTCACTCCCGATGGGTGTTTTCAAAGAGACGAGTCCCCAGCTCTGGCCAGCTTGAGCCCAGAGTAACAGACAGAGGGCACAGAACCCACGGGGCCAGGCTTTGGTGCCCCACGAGACAGGTGTCCTCCTCCATGATGCTGACCGGGGCACCCGGGCTGGCAACTGTCATGTGCTGGGGCCCAAGTTCTGAGGTCCAAACTGCAACCTGGCGCCTCCTCCACTCTGGCGTCAAAGCGGAACTCCACGCTAGCTGCCTCATCCGAAGGCCGAGAGAATTAATTAGTTAATATTTGTGAAGACCGCGGAGATGGGAAACGACAGCATTATAGGCAAGGCGGCTTTCACACCCTCCTCCCCCAATCCCCGAGCGAGGCGTAATCATTCTTTTTGCTTTCCTTTGAATTTTAATTTGTATAATTAGATGGCTTCCTGAAAAATTGATAAGTAGAATCTCAATCATGCAATCAAAGGGAAGATCAGCTTACACAAACGCCCGTGCTCTACTATTAAAAAGAAAGGGCTGACTCTTGCGTCTGGCTTTTTTTGGGGGGTGGTGGGGAAACGTCTCTGTGTCTGCCCTTCCCAGGGTCCTCTCTGCGGACCCCTGGCCTTGGCGCCCACCGGTGTTTTCGGCAGACCCTGCTGGCAGCAAATCCAGACTCCCAAGGCCACCGGTCTGCGGGGCCGGCCGGACTTTATGGCAGCCACCATCGGTTCTTGTAGCCTCGCTCCCCTCCCCCAATCGTTTCTTTTGAAACAAGAATGTATGAAATGTGACATTTTCCTCCCCAGCTCTCCCGAGGAGCAAGCGAGCTATTTAAGAGGACTTAATTAACAAACCATCTTTCCAGTGACAGCCACGGGCCCTCCTCAGAGCCGAGCTGAGCACGCTGGCCTCCAGCTGCCGTCTGCACCGAAGATGCCAGCACCTCGCCATCCAACACTGCTTCCGGGCTCTCTTGTGTCACGGCTCTTGTGGCGATGCCCGCTGCAGAAACCGACCTCTGCCTGTGTTTTAAGCCAGTCTCCGGTCACAGATCATGCTCCTTTTTGCTGTTGCATTTGTCACCATTATCACCTATCGGCACTATCAATGTTGAACAGCAACGAAGGCACAGAAAAATGAAGGGGAATGTGCTTTCACTCTCCCACTCCTACTGAAATTTTCTTCAAACCATGGCAGTGGTGGACTTGTAGGTGGGGACAGGGTTCTATATTGCACCTACTTGCAGAATGATCCTGGATGAGTTGTTTTGGAGACTCAGGCTCCCGTCTGTGGAATGGGATGATGTTACTTGCACCCCAAAGTGGCAGCGAGGTCAGACGGGACCCTGCATGATGTCCGGTGGGAAACAGCAGATCTTTAAGCACTGCTCCTGCCCTGCCTTGGTTCTGCGGGGACACCCCCTTGCACACTAACCCCAGCAGCGAAGGATCACTCCCATCCCGCTCAATTCGAGGCAGATAGGAAAGCCGGGTATTTCCGTAAGGAGAAGAGGGGCAGCACGCCAGAGCAAAAGCTCTCAGGAAACACTGTCTTCTCCCCAACACTGAAGACACAGGAATCACAGGCCAAACCCCAACCAGGGACCAGAATGGTTTATCTAGAATTTTATGTGAGGCAAGGGTTGTGATCTGGGGCTGAAACGTTTGGTGTCAGGAAATTCTTTTAAGATGCCTGGATTAGAGAAATGAGAGATTCCTGGGTATCACTAGAAGTGACAGGCAGGGAAGATTCCTTCCACGCAGGTGTCAAAGAGAAACATGAGATTTGAGAAAAGGGAGATCAAAAAGGGAAGAACTATACGTTTTACAACCACTTGCTTGTATATCAAACTCAAAAATATCCAGAATCAAGGGCAAGAGAAATGGGGTTCCCCTCATCCAACATGGTTTAAATCTGAACAGATTGATGTTACTAAACAACCGGACAGCTGTCGCTGCCATGAGGTTAGAGGGCACGAAACCCCAGTCCTCACAAACGTACGTTGTTAAAGTCTCCAGTAAGTTTCATAGAATCTCTGTTTCCCTGTGCCGGTTCCTAGTCTTCATAAAAGCAGCTAAAGGGGTTTACAGAGCAAGTGCATGCCTTCAGCAGTTTATCTTTCCAGATGAAAATTCCTCCAAATCCAGTTAAACATGGTGATGATTGTTTTCAACTGTGTTAAGGAGACCTACTTAGACATTATGTTAACATACACGGACCAAGTTTCACAATCTGCTAACAAGTGAATATGATCGTAGCTAAACCAGTACTGCCAAAGTTCCCTGATTGAGCCCATAGCGTCCTCAGACTACATTTCATTATTAAGCAGGGGAGGGGCGGTGTAGATTTTAAAGTTTGAGAGGCTGGGGTGATCTGGGGCAGGTAGGAAAGACTCCCTGCAGCGCAGACAGCGGCACCGGTTTGCAAGGTCAACCACCCTTTCCAGCCTGGGACCCCACTCCTGGAGACCCCGCTTACCCATGGCCCACGAGGACCTCTAGATGTCAACAGCCTCACTGAAGAGCCTGGGTGTGGCCCAGCCAGGCCATGACAAGGACGCAGCACCAGTACAGCCCACAGCACAGGTGGGGGAGGCCTCAGGTGGGGTGCCATCCAGCACACGTGCCGGTTCAGTGTCCTTCGACAGTGCCTCGAGGGTGCCAGCTCACCACTGACATCGGCCCAGAAAAGCCCCTCTGACTCGTCTCCTCCGAGACCCAGACAGAGTTGCAGACGTTCAGGCCACCTTGCAAGAACCCATTCCACGAGCTGCAAAGCCAAACATGTCCAACAGACTCCTTACTTATGAAGATAGCCGGGCATAATCTTCTGAACGGTAAGGGTTTTGCTTTTTTAAACAAGAATCAATGAAAAACCAGATAGAAGCTGGGCACAATGGCACGTGCCTTAAATCCAGCTACCTGGAGGTCCCCAGGTGAGAGGAGTAGGAGGCTGTAGGGCCCTGTGATCGCACCTGTGAGTGGCAACTTCACTCTAACCTCAGCCAGACACCAGCACGAATTATTAAAAAAAAAAAAACAAACCTAGATGTAACATAGTAAATGTTCCAAAGGGGGTTAGGGATTAGTGGGGGAAAAACACCATCCAGACTTTGTTTAAATGGCAATCTTCATAACACTGATTATAACAAAATCACTAAAATTTATGCACTTTAAGGAAGAAAATCAGGGTGGGAAATGACCTTACTGGAGTTGATTTTCACGACGGCTGGTGTGGGCTGAGTGTTCGAGTATCCTGACATCTTTCAGTGTTGAGTGCCCAAGTCCTGAGTGTTCGAACCCTCCTCTCCCCAGAGCGAGGGTATCTGAAGGCGGGGCCC